AAAAATGGCTTTACTGAACAACTTACCTTCTTACATTACTAAACCTTCATAAATAAAATACCGTGCATAAGTTTTCCAGCGAAATAGCACAACCTTTGCTAATATATAAGCAGAATTCCATATATAATAGGTGGATCTATATAATTGTTTTTCACTATTGTATATCCGCCACTCAAGGCTGAAGATATATTTATTTTGCAGGAAGGTTTTGCAATACCTAGAGGGTAGCTTCAGAGAATCTATAAGCTATATACCTTCTCGATCAAAGTAAAATTCTGACTTTCTGGACAAATCGGCCGAACTACACGCCACTGCATACTGTAGACTGAAAACATCTGTTTCTTTTCAAAAGTAAAAGATATTTTTTTTCTTGCTTTTTACTTATAAGGTACAAGACTTTCTACAGTATATGTAAAGAAATGGAAAAATCGGCCACGAGATATTGCAGGGCATTGAAATTCCATTTTAGATTTTTTTCTGTTTTTTTAAGACAAATTTTCGAATATATACAATATTTAGCCATAGCCGAACATAAATAATTATTTTCTTTTAATAGAATTTGTAAAAAGTTCTGCTCAGAATTACAATCAATTAATCATGCTGGGTACAGTTGCGTATTTTTTGACATTCAAAAGAAACGCCTACATGTCATTAAAATTAATGAAAGAAAATTATTAAAAATTAAAATTAATGAAAATTATGCCGTTTTTAAGCTTTGCGTATAGAGATCTTCTTCGATACCCCAAACCAGGAGATTGTGCCTTATCTGTAAAAGCAAAAGAAGGTAAAAAGTGCATGGGCTGAGAGCAACTACGCTTTGCAAATAGTCAGAAAGAAGTTTATTCTAAAAGTTGATTTTTTCAGAACCTGTTCTTTTATTACTTGTCTACAAATGGTGTTTTCCATGTTGAACCAAAGACCAAAAATTGCTTGAAGTTATGAAGGATTTAAATATATAAACAACTTTTTTTTTTATAAATTACTGTTCGTTCTTAAAGTAAACTTTTTAAAAATATCATAAGTAAATAGCGAAACGAAAAAGTTGAGCTAATGAAAAGCTTAGTGAAGGCATTACCTAATAGTAAATGTATTAATTGCATGTGCCCGAGTGCATATGATAAATTCATTATCCATTAAAATATATTCTAATGCCATTTCTGTTGTTCTGCAACAAAATTATCCTTAGAAGAGCCATTATTCATACATTCGCAAGTGCGCATATACATGTTAACATAATCGCCTGGTCGATTCGGTGGTAATGGTAATGGTGAAGTGAATCAATGAGTTGAGTTCATAAATGGTGATGATGATGACGATGACGATGACGATGATGATGAGCATGATGACGCTTATGGCACGCTAATCCCGTTGTGTGCATTTTAAGGCTATTGGCACTTAAAGCAAGCACAGAGGCACATTTATACTGTAACGAGGAGTGTCATCATAATAAATTCGAAGAGTTAGAAGAGCATAAAGAAATTAACGGCAGAATGAGTCGTAGCTGACGGTTATGGAGAAACCTAGGAAATATAGAAAAATGCATTGCAATGACATTTCTGATAGTATACAATATAAATTATTACCCTTTGAATAAAGAACAAATGAAAAATTTATAATTTTTTATATTGCTGTAGGATGGATACCTTTTAAATGTTCGATGTGAGTTGGTTTATTGTTCATTTGCCACCTCAAGTCGAATATCTTTTGCATTTATATGCAAATTATTTTCCATTTTTAAAGTCAAACGCATCAATTTTATTACTATATAAAGTGCGAATATGGGGATTTTAATGTGAGTGTTCAGGCAAGATGTAGAAATAAAACCTAAACACGTCTTATGTTATAATTGAAACATTAAGCGAAGAGATGTTTATCTAACGGTTAAAGACGGATGGATATACTAAATGAAAGTACAATGTCTGGATATCGCTGACGTTAAGTCATAAATGTCGTAAGTTCTTCCTAAGACGGAAAAGTTCATAATTTTTTGCCAAGAATCGGTGAAAATTACTTCTATAAAGCTACTGGACTGCGCTACCATATCATCATATCATCAAGCGGCCGATTATCAGGATGGCTGAATTGCAGCTTATTCTTCGTCGACCTTAAAAATGTTACAGAGTCTTGCTTTAACTCCATTTGAAATGTTCACGTATTCCCCATATATCCATTAATGATGGTATGCTGATTTCTCCACCGATTTTTATATGTGTGCTTGCGTTGCTTTGAATCTCGTCATCGGCCAATGTGTTAGGGACATCTAGAGCAGGTAAACATTGAAGTCACAGCATTGAAATTAACTAATTACAAATATTTTAACAAGAAATAGTTCAAATTGATTTATGCTAAGGTATATAAAAATATTATAGCCGGGCGAGGCCATTGTTAAATACCTTACACTACTTGACCCAACACAGTTGTCCATGCATATTCGTGATAGTGCACCAAGGATTTTATGTGGGTTTCACGTAAAAGCGCGCTTCTCGTGACAGCTCTTATAGTGGAAGGTGCTCGAAATCGTCGATTGAGTTGATCAAAATTTAAAAATTTAATTTATTTGTTAAAGATTTTATTATTATATCCTACAGCACTTCTTATACAAAGCTATTAAGTTGTGAGAATATAGCAGGCAGATGGACTTGACGTAGACTCATCTTAGGTTATACCGGCCGATTCAGAAGCATTTCGTGAATTGATCTTAGTACATCTGCCTGCCTGTCTGTCTGATGACAGTCCATGTAGTTTTGCGTTGAACCTACAGGCTGGGAATTTTACATATTGTGATGAACGATGTGTTTTGACACAAGAGCGAACACTGTTGGCAATGGTTCGGATCATCTTTCGAACTGCATTGCACGAATTCCAGCAGACAAGCGAACGCCAATCGAATGTGGTAAAATTAAAACAGGATGAGTTACGCAAACTGCATTAGAGGCGAGAATAAACTAAAATATTTTTAGATTTAATTAGCACAGATTAAAAAATATTATTTGCTTGTGAATGTATGCTTACGTGCACACACATATCCATAATCAAATTTTTTTATTAAAATTGCTTACTATGTATGCACATCTTGATATAACGAAATTCGTCAAGCGCCTGAATTCAAAAGAGTTTAACTTATCAAAAAGTGGAAATAAGCAACAACTGTGTAAAATGCATAAGGAATATTAAGATTTCCAATAAGAGCCTGCATAAGGAGGAATAAACTGTGCTTTTTTTGAATCTCTGTTTAGTACGTACAGTCGTACGGTAAATGTAATAAAAGACATAAAAAAGCTTCGTGCAATCACGGTAACTACTTGTCAGTTTCCTCAATTGGTAGATATTTCGTTTTGACATGCACGCACATACATCCATTCGTTTCTATCGTTTAGAATTATAATCTTTTCTTTAATGGCGTGTTGTTAATAAAAGCAAAATTTTCAGCTGACTAACGCTTATCGAATTTGGATTTCTTACGAAAATTTAAACCATTTATTTCATATCATCTTAATGGTTAAAATTTGATAGCTTTAAGCGGGAAGTTTAAATAGAAAACTGAAAATTTTTAAAAATTTCTATATGTAAAACCTGTTCAAGTGTGGTTCCTAATAAATAATACAGTTTCGGTCGGTTTCTAGTCGAGAGAAAAGAAAATTTAAAGTTCGCGTGACTTTGGAATTTTGAACGGATACCGTTATTTTGTTGTCTATGGCTTTTGCGCCATTTGGATCTGCTATATACATAAACTAAGGTGAGTCTGTAATGTGTTCCGTAAAGATCTCCTCTGAAGCATAGAAGAAATTTTGAAAGAGAAGGCAAAGACTGCGTACTCGAAAATGTTCCTCAAGAAGCAGGTGATCGATCTATTCTATTTTTTTATTTTTTTCTTGTTCACAACTGCGGTCGTAGCTACAGCGAGGGCTTACATTTGTCAGTGGAATCTGTAGACCGTCGAGCCCACCATATACTTATCACTTTCTCTTCTCCAACTTCTTTCCGCCACTCGTCGTGTTACACGAATTGGAGGCATCCCCTAAACGATTGGTCGTTTATTAATATAAAAAAGATCCCAGTGTACAGCCCGCGCTGATTTGAGCAAATCGTTGAGATAATTTACAGCGAATTTCGAATTGTCATCCATCACTATCTGCGATAATTTTCTTATTTTCCTCATAAACAAATCTTCAAAATGAATTATTCTTTCTTCTTATTTCTGTTATTTCTTTCTATTCTATTCGTTAATTTTCAAGAAACTTTCCATAGGAAAAAATGTGGAAAATGTAGGGTCCAAGCTTTGAAATAGCGAAATAGCTCTTCTGAAATAACTGTCACGACCTAGTATTAAAAAATCTATTTAACTGCCCTATAAAAGATTATTTTTCAATTGCGTCTGTAAATAAATGTATTTTTTTTTTTTTAATATGAATCGTATAACGCAATGACGATCGAAAAGAAGTGGGAAGAGAGATTGTAGCAGCTTGTGGCCGCAGCCAAATGAATGGTTATGTATTTACCGGCTGAGTACTTATCCAATTTGGTATCGGCACTTACGATTGAACTTGCGAACACTGACTTGGTATTCGGTTATTCAAGCGTAGAAGATATTCAAAATATAGTCTCATCTTTCATTTCATATCGAAAAACAATCGTAAAAATGATGTGATCTAAACGAGGTTCGAGAGCGTTCGCCCTTGAGCCCAAACATGTCAGTGTAGCAAACTTCATTAAAATATAGTGAATATTTCCTACAAGCGAGTTGTATGCAAAAAGAGGAGCAGCAGCACACAGACAAACAGATAATAACCAAAATTTTTCTTCGACTAGCATATATTTTTCCCAGCAGCGAATAATTATGTCTCACTTTTGCTTTTGGCTGGACTTGCCTTCAGACAGATTCAGAAAGATTAATGGCCACTTTCCATTCTTATCAATACACATACTTATATCCTCTGGATTACTTCTTATTTATTTTATTTCTTTATTGATTTTATTAAAGGTTTGGTGCAAATATCTTTTTACACAGTTTGTAAGGAGACTACGTTTTTATACCGATTAAAAAGATATTCCCCTACGATATCATAAAGAAGCTCTAAGCCTAAACATGCGCATAAGTTGCGAAATAGTTTTATTAAAATTGGCGGTAGTGATGTAATTTCAAACACGTCCTCAATTACTTGAATTTTGTCCAGTAGGCCAGGATTCTTGTCTATTTTCCTGAACAACTCCTCACTGTCTAGACAAATACTCCCCATGTATTTATTATCTGACATAAAACATTCCAAATGAAATCGTGTCAGATTAGCAACGTCGTCGTTGAGAATGGGTGATAATATCCAACACAATTCCGGACGTAAAATGATATTAAATTTCAAATGTTCGGCTACTTTAAAAAAGCGTTCAATATCTTTCCCCCTGGTTGGTGAACATGCATTAATGCAGTGGATAAGGTAAAGCATTTCTCTTTCGGTTGCGATAAGTCCGTCGCCAGCCTCTAGATTAGTTTGCATGATACCCTTCGTAGCTTCCAATACTTTAGGATTTTGTTTAAAAAAATCACCAGCTGTGCTAATTTGTTTCTTAATAGCACACTGCGATCCGATACAATTGCTGGTCTCCGTACTAAACTGAAGGCAGCAACAGTTCCTATTTAAAGCATTAACCAAATTATTAATAGTTTTACTTTCGAGGGCAACCGTTTTCAAATTGATGTAACGTGAACTGAAGGCAATGCAATACTTTTGAAATGCTTCACTCAGCTTCAAATTATTTAGTTCTGATTGCGTTATGCTGGTCATGCCCAAGTGTACGCGACTGTAGCGCTCGATTACATGCAATTTATAAAGATTTTGATGTCTACTTGACGGAGTTATCATGATCATCACATCGGCGTGATGATGATCTTTTAGTAACCTATTAATTATGCGATCCAAATCGGTCCCGTGAGATCTGCTATTTCGTTTATTTTTCCAACAGCTGCGATCGAAAGGCATCTGATCAAACCCTTTGAATCCAATCACCTGCTTGCTTACAGTTGACTCAGTAAAAGGTGTTATACTTCGCACCGTGCGAGTTCTACACAAACAATTTAAACTGCGTTTTTTACGACGCGTAGTCTTTTTTATCACAATTTTTTGGCATATATTGCATATACTTTCTTGATGACTCCCGTGACGCATCGCAGATTTCGTTGCTTACATTAAAGTTTTTATTGAAAGAAGTTCACATAAAATATATGATTGAATGAAGGAAAAGTCAATCTATATATGATATTGTTAAGTTTTTTTTGTTTATTTTATTCAGAGCAATTTTTCGATAGAAAACCGATAATCTTTTTAGTAAATTACGTAAGTGATTGATTTATAGGTGTTAGGGGTGGAAGAACATAATTCAAATTTTTCTTTTTTTAATAGTTTTGCCTCCATATCATCCACCTAGTTTAACACGTGTCGCTTCAAGTTATGATGATCAAATTTACCTAAAAACTTTAATTTAAGGTTTCTTGTGTATTTCATTAGCGTAAGGTGCTAGTGTATAATAGAAATGCAATGTTGCTATTCGACAATAAGGTTCGAAGCGATTGACGACCAGGCGTGATAGATTATGCTGAGGAAAAGTGTAAGTAAGAATTTAAATGCGACTTCATTTCGGATAAGTTATCAGTGTGCAATATGACGACGGCATTGTTGAGCAGAGAAATGCGGCAGAGTACGCTCCAAACATTTAATCTGTTATGTGTTTCCTTGATACCTTCGAATCACACAAGATGTCAATGCGTAGCATACAAAGAGCTTAATGTGTGCTACTATGGATGGGAAGTAGAAATACGTTATACTGCTAAATATGGGAACAAAAGGCAAAACAGCAAGCTGTGACAATGTGACCTGTAAAGAACCTAACAAGCAGAATTGGACTAGAACTAAGGAAACTTTGATGGGATGTAAGAGTCAATTTAAGCTGAGTTTGAAAATTTATGAATAAAAGTGTGTTAAAATCGTCAACGCGTAGAGATTTTTTTAATTTTGACTTTTGGATCCTTCAGTGACGACTTTATCTTACGCAGAGAAAGTTCACTGTTACGTTTCAACTCACTTCAATTCCAATGAAAAGTCAAAAACGGTAAGTAACATCAATAGCAGAAACAAGTAATACACCAAAGGGCATGCAGACAGTCGCCGTCATCCGCGCATACGGAAAAGTGGTTCTTAAGAAAGGGTCCAATAACAAGGAAGGACGTAGCCGAACCATGAGCATATGTGGTAATTGATCAGTACTTATTAAAATGTGGTCGTTCAAGAGAATCCACAAGGGCAGTATTTGTAGAGAGCAATTCAACCAGAATCTCAAGAAACCATATTTGTTATGAGATCACTAGAAACCTACAAGCCAAGTTAAAGCATTACAAATAAATACGTGACAAACCTATTAGCACGATCCTTAATATTAATATGAGAGCAGAAGAACTATCCATTGCAGCCGATTTGAATGCAGAGATACTGTTAGATGTACATAAATTAGATGACTAGCCCTTGTTGCTCTATTTCATTTAGAAAAGGAAAGAAAAAATTCTTATTCAGCAGTAAATTCTAATCTCGGTTACATATAGCTTGAATTTCTGGCCTGTGTTAGCGTTAGGAAAGTCATGCGTTTATAATCGTCATAGAAAGAAATTCATATTTAATTAATTCAAACGATTTCATTACAAGAAACTATCAGCTAAAGAACGCAATTTCATTATCTATCTGGTTACGATGGTCGATTCGATCGTTCGTTGATTAATTTGGGTTGCGTTAGCGTTTATAAGAATTGCTTTTTAATAATCCACCCATCAGTAGACTTAATTTTTTTTTTGGTTTTATCACTTTCACACATTTTTCAACTGCTTTCATTCACTTTTCTTAAAACGCATTCGATAAAAAACTTTTTATTCCATGAAACTTTCTATACACACACACACACACACACACACACACACACACTTACATATGCACACACAGATGCACACAAACTAATTTATTTTGATTCACTTTTCATTTATTCATTCATTCATTCATTCATTCATTGAAAAGTTCATCTTGTTCTACTTTTGAGTTTTTCTCCTTTATTTACGTGACTTTTGCTAGCGCGTATCTATTTAATTTAACTAGAGTTACTGACTGTTGTAATTAAAAGCAGTTTCTTTGCTTACTTACAATTGCTTTCAGTTTTGAGAGAACTTTTTTTCGATTTTTTCTTGTATCTCGTTGAACTTAAAAAATGTTCTTCGAATTGTCTTAATCGTGTGTAATCAGGCATACTATTACTCTTTGACTTTTGAGGACTTTACGACTCCATTATAGATGAATTTATTTTGTTTATGCGTATGCCTACATATGTGTGTAGGCGACGAGATGTTTTCCAAGTTTTATTCGTAGGAAGAAAAAAAAAAAGAGAAGAAATTAATTATAAAGTAATCCTTGAGTAAAGTAATTTAATACTTTGGAAGAATCATTTAAATACTTTGATTTTATTAATAAATTTTGGATTTGAGTTTTTTTTTTTTTACATTGTTGGCTTATGACGGAATCACTTGTAGCTTGCGAAAAAAAATTCAATGAAACATGTAAGGAAATTATATTCGCCTATAATCGAACCTTACATGCATCCTAAACTACTACAAAAAGCTAAAAAGGACATTTTCATACTCTATAATATAGGATGGGCGTGGTTGATTTCCCCTTTCTTAAGGAATGTACGTGGACGTTTTTATCCGATACCTGTTTCACTTAATGAGCAGTGAGCAGAAAGAGCAGAAAGCAGAGGTGCTCTCAGTTTATGTTGCGTAGAAGTCGTATCCTTTCAACGATTTGGCCCATTTTTAATACCAGCTTGTCTGCATGAATTTTTAATATTATTGCGGAATTCTAAGCCGATAATTTTTTTTTTTTTTTGTTCAGGAGTATGTTTATCATAGACATTACACAGATGGACGGACGGATGTGCTTAAATCGATCCGAAAGCTGATGCTCATCAAGAATTTATATTTACCTCATAAGGCTTCTGAAAGTACCTTCTCGATTTTAAAAACGTTTGAATATGTGCGCACCGTTCAGCGGTCGGTAGAAAAAGAAAATAATTGTCTTTATCAATGTAAAAATATAAGCGGACTTAGCCACCAATCTATATCGTTCCATCTCTTCGTGGAAATGTCATAAATTATTGACATGCCAGAATTCGCCCTTCAACACAAGTTCATAGGTAAAATGGAGTAGTTTACACTCAAGATATTTATCTGAAGCTTGCGACATAGATTCAATGGCGCCACTTTGGTATTTAATGCAAACAGAAGCATGACGGGCCTAAAAGCGTAAGATGGACGTAAGTGTGCGTTAGTAAGTGTGCAAGACTTCCAGAAGAGAAAACAATTCTTTTCGCGAACATGTATGTCTATGTGTCTTCCTTCGGAAACACAGAATAAATTTCTGTATGAAATAGAAAGTTGCGCGAGATGGATTCCTAAATTGCTGCCCGATGAGCGTAAGAACTGGCGCCGAATGCGATGATTTATGAAGGCTCCGCTAACTATCGATAACAGTTGGATCTACTGCGGTCCGCCGTAGGCTCAAAGTACAGCCGTACCTAAAGCCGAGCGTTCCAACACTATCTATCTATTGACGTCGCGGAAGCTCTCACTAATTCTCCATTTTTTTTCTAAAAATAAAGCCTTTTGATCTGGGCATACGAAGTTTCCCTTCGAGTTGCACCTCAACCGTAAGCAAATGAACTATGCTTTATAATAGGTGCACAGGATGTATAAGCCAGTTTTTCTTTCGGGTTGTCTAAGACGTGACTTTGCTTTTTCTGTGAAAAATTATCAAATCTTAGACGAACTGTCTTTAAACCTTACGTAATGATTTATTCTGCTGAAGAGTACCACTTTTCCTGCTTATTCGGAGGAAAGTGCTGCTGTATCGCGAGAGGCGTGAGAGAGGAACTGCGAAGATGATACAATATCGGAGACACGAAAACTATGGCATGGTTGAAAGGAAACATTAATGCGAACTGTAAACACGAATATGTACACTCGACTTATTTAGGGGGATTATCTGAATGTGGAGTGTTATAAACGGTTCTAGGTCAATGAATCCACCGTACAGGAATGCCACCAACAACGACTGATGCAAATAAGTGTAAAATGTAAAAATGTGGCTCTGTCAATATAGAGGTCATCGATCTCACTTCGGCAAATGTGTCCGTCGTAGACAGTGACGATATTCAAAAGTATGCTTACATATGCTTGTGTAGCCAACGGTGGACAACATGCTGAATAAAATTTTCTGTCTATCATTCTTCTAAAGTAGGCGCTTTTTCCATATAAAGACAGCGTATGCTTTGCTGTGACGTATGATAAGATGCCTGGAAAGCAGACAAAAAACTAATTTGGCACACACACAAGTAAAGGGTATACTTGTAATCCTTTTAGTTAATTTGTACCTGATCCTAGGTAAACTTTTTTTGCGTAAAGCTTTTACTAAAAATCTTTGAAAATTGTAAAATAATGGGAAATCTAACAAAATTTCAATATAAAGACGTGAACAT